GCCTCTGACTGATTAAATGGTACATTCCTGCAATTTTCAAGTGGATAACTAATTTTATAAACAGTATTTGAACGTTTAAGGGTGCCTACAACTCACTATACTTCTAAATTTATTTGAGTTACAAAAGATATTTAGGTAATTGGGAAGATTTTGCTGTTAATAATTAGACAAAGTTCTTTTTTTTTTTCCTTTTTTCTTTTGAGACAGAGTCTCGCTCTGTGGCCCAGGCTGGAGTGCAGTGGCGCAATCTTGGCTCACTGCAACCTCTGCCTCCTGGGTTCAAGCAATTCTCTGCATCAGCCTCCCGAATAGCTGGGATTACAGGCACCCACCACCATGCCCGGCTGATTTTTGTATTTTTAGTGGAGACGGGGTTTTGCCATCTTGGCCAGGCTGGTCTTGAACTCCTGACCTTGTGATATACCCGCCTCAGCCTCCCAAAGTGCTGGGATTACAGGCGTGAGCAACCACACCTGGCCGACAAATAAAGTTCTTAGAGAAAATACAATACACTAAACGTATGAACATAATTAAAATGTCTAAGATAATTTAGTTAATCTTGTTATAAAAGCTCCCTTAAAATGTGATAGATTTATAAAGGGACTTAAAGCTTAAGGAAAAATGTGTAATATTTTAATTAATTAAATATTAATTTTAAAAAACCTAGCTCCTGGCTGGGCCTGGTGGCTTACACCTGTAATCCCAGTAGTTTGGGAGGCCAAGGTGGGTGGATCATCTGGGTCAGGAGTTCGAGGCCTGCCTGGCCAACATGGTGAAACTCCGTCTCTACTAAAAATACAAAAATTAGCCGGATGTGGTGGCACACGCCTGTAGTCCCAGCTACTCAGGAGGCTGAGGCAGAAGAATCCCAGGAGGGATTCTCCCGGGGAAACCCGGGAGGTAGAGGTTGCAGTGAGCCGAGATCGCACCACTGCACTCCAGCCTGGGCGAGACAGCAAGACTCTGTCTCAAAAACAAACATACAACAAAAAAAACCTAGCTCCTGAATGAGCTTTTCTGTTCTCAAGAGCAAACATCAAGGGCACCAGAAAACTCACAATGACAGTAATTATTTCTTTAGCCCAGTGGTTCTTAGACCACCATGTGGTAGAGTGACTAGAGAAAATCAAGTTGTCATTTGAATCAAGTGTTTTGTTGATCAACCTCATTTTGACCAATTTGCCTAGGGGTAGGATTTCCCCAAGACTATTCCTTAACTTTACTTGAAAAAAGGGTCTGTGATTTTAAAAGTCTGGGACGATGCCGGGTTAAACAGATGTTTTCTTTTTCTTTTTCTTTTTGAGACTGAGTCTCACTCTATTGCCCAGGCTGGAGTGCAGTGGCATGATCTTGGCTCACTACAATCTCCTTCTCCCGGGTTCAAGCGATTTTCCTGCCTCAGCCTCCCGAGTAGCTGCAACCACAGGCACATGCCACCACGCTTGGCTAATTTTCTTTTCTTTTTTTTTTTTTTTTTGAGATGGAGTTTCGCTCTTGTTGCCCAGACTAGAGTGCAATGGTGCAATCTTGGCTCACCACAACCTCTGCCTCCTGGTTTCAAGCAATTCTTCTGCCTTAGCCTCCCGAGTGGCTGGGATTACAGGCGTGCACCACCATGCCTGGCTAATTTTTTGTATTTTTAGTAGAGACGGGGTTTCTCCATGTTGGTCAGGCTGGTCTCGAACTCCTGACCTCAGGTGATCCACCCGCCTCGGCCTCCCAAACTGCTGGGATTAAAGGTGTGAGCCACTGCGCCCAGCCATTTTTTTTTGTATTTTTAGTAGAGACAGGGTTTCACCATGTTGGCCAGGCTAGTCTAGAACTCCCGACCTAAGATGATTTGCCCATCTTGGCCTCCCGAAGTGCTGAGTTTACAGGCGTGGGCCACCGTGCCCTGCCCAAATAGCTGTGTTGTATCACTGCAGGATTTCACAGGCTAGTGTGCACTGCGAATCTTCAAGAAGAATATATAGTATACAGTACTTCTCAAACTTATTCACTATTTGTTTATTCATTCATTTAGTCATTCAACAAATATTTATTGCACACCTAGTTTATGCCAGAGACTGTTTTGTGCACTTGGGATAAAGTAGAGAACAAAAGAGACGAAATTTTTTCTCTCACGAAGTTTACAATCTAGTGGGAGATGAGATAATAAACACAAATAGGCCAGGCGCCGTTAGCTCACACCTGTAATCCCAGCACTTTGGGAGGCTGAAGCGGGTGGATCACGGGATCAGGAGTTCAAGACCAGCCTGGCCAAGATGCTGAAACCCTGTCTCTACTAAAAGTACAAAAATTGGCTGGGCATGGTGGTGGGCACCTGTAATCCCAGCTACTCGGGAGGCTGAGGCAGGAGAATCGCTTGAACCTGGGCAGCGGAGGTTGCAGTGAGCTGAGATTGCGCCACTGCACTCCAGCCTGGGTGACAGAGCAAGACTCCATCTCAAAAAAAAAATTAAATAAAAAATAAAAAATAAACACAAATATGTAAAATATGTGGTACGTCAGATGTTATTAAATGGTATGGATAAAAATAAGGCCAGGAAAGGGGATAAGGAAGACAGAGTATGAAAGTGAGGAGGTTATATTGTCAAATAAAGTGATCAGAGAAGTTCTCATTGAGACGTGGACATTTTTGCAAAGACCTGAAAGAGATGACAGCAAGCCATGTAGATCTAAGAGGAAAGAGTATGGTAGGCAGAGGCAACACAAAGTGCAAAGGCCCTGATGCAGAAGTGTATCTGACATGTTCTGGGAATAGCAAAGAAGTCACTATGGTTGGTATGTAGAAAACTAGAAAAGTGAAATATTAGAGATTGGAGAGGACTTCAGCTTTTTTTCTGAGTGAGAGGGGGAATCATTAGGGTGTTATGAGCCACTGCACTCCAGCCTAACGTATGTTTTTAAATGACCATTCTGGCTCTTTTGTGAATTAAAAAAAACAGTAGGGGCAAGGTCTCAAGGAGGGAGGTTAATTAGAGGTTATTATAATAATCCAGGGGAGGCTGGGTGCGGTGGCTCAAGCCTGTAATCCCAGCACTTTGGGAGGCCGAGACGGGCGGATCACGAGGTCAGGAGATCGAGACCATCCTGGCTAACACGGTGAAACCCTGTCTCTACTAAAAAATACAAAAAAACTAGCCGGGCGAGGTGGCGGGTGCCTGTAATCCCAGCTACTCGGGAGGCTGAGGCAGGAGAATGGTGTAAACTGGGGAGGGAGCTTGCAGTGAGCTGAGATCTGGCCACTGCACCCCAGCCTAGGCGACAGAGCGAGACTCCATCTCAAAAAATAAAAAAATAAAAAAAATAATAATCCAGGGGAGATATTAATAGGTGGTAGTTTAGTCCAATGAGGTAACAGTAGAGGTGGTAAGAAATAGTTGAATTATATTCTCACTCTCTCTGTGTACACACACACATATACACATAAAATAATATATATTATATATTAATCTTTTATTATAGAAAATATTAAGCATAAACAAATGTAGACAAAAACAATATAATGAACTATCATGTCTATCACTCAGCTTCAACAATTGTCAACTATGAACTCAGGGTAAATCTTTTTTCATATAGACCGCTAACCATTCACCTACCTTCCCATATTATTTTAAGCATATACTAAGTAACGTATCATTTCTTTATAAATATTTCAGTATGTATCCCTAAGAGATGAAGACTGTCATCTTTAACAACCATATTCCCACTATCACACTTAAAAATTTAGTAATTCCTTAATTTTTTTTTTCCAGACAAGGTTTCTCTGTGCATCACCAAGGCTAGAGTGCACTGGCAAGATCGTGGCTTACTAGAGCCTCAACCTCTACCTCCTGGGCTCAAGCAAGCCTTCCATCTAAGACTCCTGAGTAGCTAGAACTACAGGTGTGAACTTTTTTTTCTTTTTGTAGAGACAAGGTCTCACTTTGTTGCTAGGATGATCTCAAGAGATCCCCTCCCCACCTCCAGCCTTGGCCTCCCAAGGTGCAGGGATTACAGGTGTCATCAACTGCACCCGGCCAAGTGATATGTCTTTTAAATCTCTTTAATCTATAGGTCTTCTCCCTGACTCCATCTCTTTTTTCCTCCTTGTAATTTATTTGTTGAGGAAACTAAGAGGTTTGTTCTGACTAAATATATTTTGAAAGTAGAACAGACATGATTTGTTAATGGGTTAGAGTTAGGGTGTGTGAGAGAAAAAAGATGTCAAGAATAACACCCAGGTTTTAGGTCAGAGGATCAGGAAAGAGATCTAAGATGAGGGAGCCTTTGGGAAAAGTAGATTTGGGGCAAAGGTCAGAAGTTTGATTTTTGGACCTGTGAAGTCTGAGCTATCAATTAGATATTCAAGTGGAGGTATATTTGACTATGAAATCCTTTTTTTCTTAATGTATCTTGTGAGTCCAGGGTTTTGATGAATACTTAGAGGAAATACTGCTTTTGTTCTAATTGCTCTTGGGCACTGCTATAACATATGAAACGCTAATTCTTTCTAGTAAGGGAGGGAGAAAAAACCCCACATTTTAGTAAACTTGCATTGAGAAGATGATGATATGTCTTGGGAATCATAAAATAGTAAATAAAAAGGGATATTAAAACTTCTGCAGAAGAGCAAAAATAACTGCATTATTTCTGAAATATTTAATCTAACAACTGCTTTTTGAGTAAAATCAGAATTTGCAATGAAACCTCCTTCATCAATGGAGAAGGAAAGTAAATGAAAAACTGATTTTTAAAAGTGGTTTGAGATTAATATTGGCTGATTCAGAAACTAGATTTTGGGTCTGAATTTCTTGTAAGACATTTAATCTTGCTCCTCCAAGCAGTCTAGAATTTTTTGATAGCATTTAGAAAAAAAAAAAACCACACACACACCCCCAAACTTCAAATGAAGAAGCTACTTCTACTACTTATAGTAGAAATAACCAGAAAGAGGAAAAGAAACATGGTATTCCAAAGACTATGCTTAGTGGTTATAAAAAATGTAAGATACACACTCAAATTCCTGGCTCCCGGTGGTGATATGGAAAACCATTTTCCTCTTTTCACTATACTCAAATGCAGTCAAGAATCCTGGTTCCTACAGAAAGATAAAACGAAATGTTCAAAAAGGGTTTAAAGATGATGGTTTTATTTTCAAATGTTGCCCAAAATGATATACTCAATTATTAAGATATCATTTGGTATAAGCTGCAGTTCACTTGTCCTTGAAGGCAGTACAAGATTATGGTTAGGAACACAGGCTTTAGAGCTGCCCTTTCTAGGTTCAAATCATGTCTCTAATAGTTATTAGTTGTATGATATGGAGTAAACTACTTAATCTTGCTGTACTTCAGCTTCCTCTTTTGGGTCAAACAGATATAACAGTGTTTCTTCAAAGAGTAGCTGTGAAAATTAAATTATATATATATATATATATTTTTTTTTTCTTTTTTTGAGGGGGACTGAGTCTCGCTCTATTGCCCAGGCTGGAGTGCAGTGGCACTGTCTTGGATCACTGCAATCTCTGCCTTCCAGGTTCAAGCAATTCTCCTGCCTCAGCCAGCCGAGTAGCTGAGATTACAGGCGCCCGCCATCACACCCAGCTAATTTTTATATTTTTAGTAGAGCCAGGGTTTCACCATGTTGGCGAGGCTGGTCTCGAACTCCTGACCTCAGGTGATCCACCCGCCTCAGCCTCCCAAAGTGCTGGGATTACAGGTATGAGCCACCATGCCCAGCCAAATGAGATATAATTATGGCATAAAGCAGAGAGTATTTTACTAACAATTCACTTTTTTTTTTCATTCAACAGAATCATTTTTTTCCAGCTGTAGAAGTTTCAAGGGGCACAGAAATTCCAGTTTTCATTATTCTTGAGACAACATTTTTCACACGGTAGATATACTACTTATTGACTGATTGAAAAGGTATAGCTGATGCAGTGGAGGACTAGTGAAAATGGGTACCAATGTAGTCTAATGGGTGTCCCTCTTTGTTGTTTTATACTATGACTGTGGTTCTCAAACTTTGGAGAACTAGGAGAATGGGGACAGCCAAGCCCAGGTCCTATCCTACTTCAGTGAGCCAAGTCTGGGCTTCTGTTTTCTTTATTAGCCACACCAGGTGATTCTGATACACATCAATGTTTAGAACCACTGTACTATGAAATTAACTTCCTTCCTTTCTCTCCTCTCTCTCTTTCTGTCTCTCTCTCTAAATCTCTTTCTCTATCTCTAAGAATAAACAACTGGGTGCAGTGGCTCACACCTGTAATCCCAGCACTATGAGACACTGAGGCGGGAACTGCTTGATGCCAGCACTTCAAGACCAGCCTGGGCAACATAGCAAGATCCCATCTCCACAAAAATTTTAAAAAATTAGCTGGACATGGTAGCATGTACCTGTAGTCCCAGCTACTCAGGAGGCTGACGTGGGAGGATCGCTTGAGCCTGGGAGGTCAAGGCCTCAGTGAACTGTGATTGAGAAACTGTACTCCAGCCTGGGCTACAGAGTGAGACCTTGTCTCAAAAATAAATGAATAAATGAATAAAGCTGGGCACAGTGGCATATTCCTGTAGTCCCATGTACTTCAGAAGCAGAGGCAGGAAGATCACTTGAACCCAGGAGTTCAAGCCCAGACTGGGCAACATAGTGAGATACCCTTCTCTTTCTCTTTTTTTTTTTCTTTTTGGGACAGTCTTGCTGTGTTGCTCAGGCTGGAGTGTAGTGGTACAATCTTGGCTCACTGCAACCTCTGCCTCTTGGTTTCAAGCAATTCTCCTGTCTCAGCCTCCCAAGTAGCTGGGACTACAGGCAACTGCCATCATGCCTGGCTAATTTTTGTATTTTTAGGAGATATGGGGTTTCACTATGTTTCCCGACTAATTTTTGTATTTTTAGTAGAGATAGGGTTTCACTATGTTGACCACTATGTTAGTCTTGAACTCCTGACCTCATGATCCGCCTGCCTCGGCCTCTCAAAGTGCTGGGATTACAGGTGTAAGCCACTGTACCTGGCCCGATCCCTTCTCTTAAAAAATAAAAATAAAAAAGATAAATAGTTTAAGCTAAGAAAGGAGAAGATTCTTGGTGCAGTAGTGGGTGCTTGAGGAGGAGAGAGGTTCTTTTCTTTGGTAATAAGATTTAATTTCCAAAAAAAAACAACTCTAATGTCATAGAGCAGTTTCCCAAACCCTGGGTACTGCTCCAGGGCTTTCTTAAACACCCTGGCAGTTGTGGAATTCACTTGTGGGTACACTGCCTGAGTGTACTCAGAAGCTAGAGCAACTGAGCTGGGTTCAGAGTAATTCAGTTCGGTTGGATCCTCTCCAAGTTCAGGATCACACTGCCAGTTGCATCACTCTCCTGCCTTGACTGCCTCTGAAGAAGGAAACCAAATGGCTGTTGGTGAAGAGAGCTTCTCAGACTCGCTGGGAATGAGACCCTCATATACCAATAGAGAAATGGAGAGGCCTGCTATTAAATGAAGAGGAAGACTTAGTGACTACCTTTCTTTGCTTTCCTGTTTCAAGAGCTGGTACCTCTAGTGGTTTCCAAAAGCTCTACATAAAAGCTTGGGTCAAAGGTATATATATGTTTTTGTCTGGTAGCCTGGCAGTTGCAAAGGCCCCTCACAGCCAGTGAGCCCTGCTAGAAAGTAGTAAGGTAGGAGGTGGGATTTGACTCCAGAGGTGGGGCTCAGACACCAGACCAAATTGAGAACTAGCTAAAACAAGGTCCAGGGCAGAAGCAGCTTTCCATAAGACATGCCCACCAATGTGCCATGTCAGTTTACCATTGCTATGGCAACACCTGGAAGTTACTGCCCCTTCCCATGGCAATGACCCAATGGCCCAGAAATTACCACTCTTTTCCTAGAAACTTATGCATAGACTGCCCCTTAATTTGCATGTAATTAAAAGTGGGTATAACTATAATGGCAAAACTGCCTCTGAGCTGCTACTTCTGGGCACACTGCCTATGGGGTAGACCTGCTCTGCAAGGAGCAGTATCTCTGCTGTGCTGTACTGGGCTACTTCAACAAAAGTTACTGTCCAACACCACTGGCTCACCTTTGGGCAAAGCCAAGAACCCTCCCAGGTTAAGCCCCAATTTGGGGGCTCACCTGCCCTATATCAGTACGGGTTAGCTTAGCTCAGCTGCTTCAGTGAACACATTCATATCTATCTCAACTGCACATATATAGATCCAACCACCGTTGGTCTTCTTCTAACCCAATGCTCTCTTATCAATTGGCTAGATATCAATCTCCTATACCAGGAGAGAGCAGCTTCTTTGGTACTGAGTGCTTCACAACAGCCATAGGTATGATATTTGAGGAGACAAGACAAAACTGAGGAGGAGGAAGGTAAAAAATAAAAATGAAGGCCAAGCACAGTGGCTCATGCCTATAATCCCAGCACTTTGGGAGGCCGGGGCAGACAGATCACAAGGTCAGGAGATCGAGACCATCTTGGCCAACATGGTAAAACCTCGTCTCTACTAAAAATACAAAAATTAGCTAGGCGTGGTGGTGTGTGCCTGTAGTCCCAGCTACTCACGAGGCTGAGGCAGGAGAATCGCTTGAACCCCAGAGGTGGAGGTTGCAGTGAGCCGAGATCACGCCACTGCACTCAGGCCTGGCGACAGAGCGAGACTCTGTCTCA